TGTGATAACTTCCTAAGACAACCCTATGAAATTCATGGGGCCACCATAAGTCAGCAAGCAGCTTACAGGCACACACACACACACACACATAAGGTACCTTCTACTGTCTGAAGCAAAGTACTTGGAAGAAAGCCCTGGTGAAATTGATGGTACAATGGGCTCTTGTAGAAGCCAGGAACCCTTGTGGCTACCCAAATCCATGGATACTCAAGTCCTATTAAATTCAAAGGCCCAGTAAAATGATGTCCCTTATACAAAATGGCAAAATCATGCTTTGCTATTTGGAATTTATACTTTTGGGGAAGATTTTCAAACCATGGATGCTTGAATTCATGGATAAAGAATCTGTAGATATGGAAGGCTGACTGTATTTAAGTCCCAGGAAACTTCAGGTGCAGCTACACTGTAGAAATAAGGCAATTTGATACCACTTTAAGTGGTGTCCATCCTAAGCTCCATCCTAAGGAACCCTGTAGCTCCATCCTAAGGAATCCTAGGATTTGTAGTTTTACAAGGCTTTCTCTGCCTCGCAAAATTACATCTCTCAGGATTCTGTAGCCACAGCATTTAAAGTGATATCAAATTCCATTATTTCTACAGTGTAGATGCACCCCACATTTGGGGCCAGGAAGTGTTTATCTCCCACCCCATCCATACATGATCCATACTGAAGCAGTCAATTGCCTGAAAATTGTATTTTAAAATGACTGTCCATGATTGCCTATGATTCGGGGTCAGACTAGATAATCAACTGGGACTCTAGATGAGACTTTGGAAATTTTTCTGGGTGCTTCCTTTAGCTAAGAACAGGCAATGTTCTGTACTGCAGTCAAGGTTGCATTGATAACACCACAGACTCCCTGCACTGTAAACATTTTCTACGCAAGATTCCTATGTCCTGAAAACAATGTCTGCTTAACAAGAAGTGCTGAATATTATGAAACTAAGGGCCTTTACAGACTGCCAGAAATAATGCAGTTTGAGGCCACTTTAACTGTCCTAACTCAATGCTAGGGAATCATGGGAATTGTATTTTTTTTCTGAGACATTGAGCCTTCTCTGTCAGAGAGCTCTGGTGCCACAATAAACTACAGTTCCCATGATTCCCTAGCATTGAGCCAGGACAGTTAAAGTGGCCTCAAGCTGCATTATTTCTGGCAGTCTGTAAAGGCCCTAACTGAACTAGAGAGGGAAGGGGAGTGGTTTTCCTATGGGCTTGTAAGATCATTATAAAAGATGATCAGTGGCTCTGTTCTTGGCTTGGCATTTTTGGAAAGTTATTTGCTGCTGGCAGAAATAGTGCAAATTGAGTTCACTTTAAGGGTTGGGGTTAGTGCTAGGGAATCATGGGAATTGTTGTGTTGTTTTTTTTCTGAGACATTGAGCCTTCTCTGTCAGAGAGCTCTGGTGCCACAATAAAATACAGTTCCCATGATTCCCTAGCACTGAGCCAGGGCAGTTAAAATGGACTAAATTTGCACTATTTCTGGCAGTCTGCAAAGGCCCAAACTCATTTTCTTTATTCTGCGAGGTCTCTTTGTCCCATTTTTC